CCAATACGTTTCCGAATACATTTTCCAATATCCAAGTAGCACGTACTTTGTTCATACGTCCACATGTGTTTCAAAAACTCACTAGCAAGGGCATATAAACAGAAGAACCAATCCCTGTATTTTTCCAATTTGTGAGAATAGAAGCAATATTGTTGTGACACAAGATTCTTAAGTTAATTTACAAAAGCATTACACAATAACATCTAATGTAATTTTTTAGAACGTATGCATCGCAAGATTTATTTTTCCATTCGAGTCAGCATTGGCCAACGATAGCACCGATCATGAGTGTGTACTAGATCACGTGACCACTATGCATATATACTGCCATACTTCTTTATTCAATTAATCACAGCTCTATAACCGGGAATGTCTCAGTATAAGCTCGTTTATTTCCAGTTTAGATCACGTGCGGAATTGCCTCGGTTGGTGTTGGCAGAGGCTGGAGTAAATTACGAAGATGTACGATAATTGGCCAGGTGAATGGACAGCATTGAAGAGTTCGCCAGGCATTAGTAGTAAGTCAAATCTTGTCCACTCGTGAATGGGATATATAATTCGTTCATCATTAATTTTGACACTTCACTCTGTGGTCAATAGAATACCAGTGCATGATTTTGTTGTTGGAATTATTGTTACAGTGTTAGTTATATTGAGTATGCGTCAGTATTTATTGGATAATTTGAATTTGCACCACCACAGAGTAAATCAACATGGTATATATTGATCTCAAATGCCAATAATATAATTAAAGATTATCAATGAACTAAATGTTTGTTTTCTCATATGTCGGGAACACATGGTCATGAAACCAGTTTGATACATTGCCGACGTATACATATGTAACACGTACCAGAGTAAATTATGGCGAAGCTGGCGACGCTTAGTAACATATTTAGTGTGCATAATGTATGTAGAAAAATATCCTGTTCTTATCTTTTATATCGGCAATCGGTGTCCCGTTGTTTTCCTATTTCGGAAAGTCCGTGATGTATATCCATTGTACACATATGATCAGGTCTGACGTCATCGTTTGCTCGGTACATAGTGACGTCTCAATGTATGATGCAATTTATCTATTACCTTCCGCATTACGCATTTTCCTATTCAGTGTCACATTTTTAGTAAATGCTAAATGATGTTTGCCAAAATGACTTAATCACATACATTGCAGTCGACTGACCACAGAAATAGCGATTTGAATCTACAACCTACACAAAGCAATACAATAAATTGGATAAACATTATTGGCGAGATTCAACTAAAATGCGCCTGAAGCATCAAATGATTATTTTAATTAAAGGGCTAAATAATAATACCTGAGCAGTCAGTCTGTTTACAAGAATCAGTAGCAACATACTTGTCTACTAGCCTATATTTCATACACACGGATACAATCAATAACGTATGTTTTGTTTGTTTTATTCTATATTCAAATTAATGAGTTCAATTTTATTTAAATTTTACCTGTAAGGATTCCTATTTGCACGGGTACCAATCTTGGAAGTAGATGGAGTGACCATTGCGGAAAGCCAAGCCATAGCCCGATTTCTCGCCAGACGGCATGGTAAGGAGTTAATGTTTATTGTGATGATGTATATTCTTTTCTATCACAGGGTGGATGGAATTCTAGGGGTTGGTGAAACATTCTATACTGTCTAAAATCTTGAACCTCATGCAGGTTCTGAAAAAAACGTTTCTATGTGAGAATTATGTTTGTCGAAGAATCGCAATAATTCATGAAGTTTCACCATTTATTACAGCTTGTGATAACAAGACGTATGTTTTCAGCGATTTATATTAAAAAAATAAGATTATTCATCTATATTACACTTTTTCTGGGTTCGTCTCCCTCATATAGAACGCATATTGTCTGTTCTTAATGTCACCCTATTACACAATCTTACTGAAAATAACTGTTCAATTATAAGTCTAATAAAATCATTTTATCTTTTACTATTTGGTATCAATAAAATCGTTTGACCGAATTGCAAAATATTAAACAAATTTGTGTCATGTTATTCATTCTACATCCCCCCACAAAACACATAGCTACAGAGTCCTATTATTATCTTCACCAGAATCTGTCAATTGTGCTGTATTGGATTACATTGTGTCGTATCATACTTACTTTATTTTTATCCTTTGTGGAATTGTGGTTCGAATTACAGGGATTTCATTCGATATGTCGAATATGTTCACTTCAAACATCTATTTTGGGTTTCGTACTGATTGTTGATTTCGTTAAATATTTGATTTAGAAAGCAATAACAGCAAAGAATGGCTAGGTTCTATTTATGATCAATAAAACTCATATTTATTGGATTAGAAATCCTTTAAACTAGGTGCAATCTACACAATAAAAAATGTATATAACCAAAAATACATGCACAAGAGTTTTCAGTATATGTAATTACATTGACTACACAGGTTTATATGCTGATGACGTTTTTGGATCAAGCAAAGATCGACATGATAACAGACACAATGAAAGATATATCGGAAAAGCTACGTGACATATGGTTTGCCAAGGAGAATAAACAGAAATTGATGGACAAATACTTTAACGACGTCTTCCCTTTGTTATTACAAGGACTTGAACGTGTATTGAAAGAAAACAATGCTGGGGATGGATACTATGTCGGAGATAAGGTACGGGGATTGTTTCTCATATCGGGTGTAATCCGTAATCAATCGCGTCCATCGCACGAGGATCGGAAATTATTAAAATCAAATATCCCGAAACGTTATATCGATTATTCATGATTCATGTTCGGTGGCCGTTTTCGTCACGTCTTCTATTGGTTGCATAATGCATCCATGCAACAAAATTCATTTTAACACTGCTTGTTATATGTGAACATTAGTAAATAGAGAGTTCTGATAAAATCTACAACACTTAAAGGGGTAAAGTGTTTGTTAAGTGATATGCAATATCGAATACTCTTAATCACTATGTGTTGGCCACGAATGGTCACGGATTGGGTGTTCTCGATTGAATAGCATGACACACTGTACGATGGAACAAAGAACACCCATCACGGTATCTCAGTAAAATTTCACTGAAGGTCAAATTGTGTAACACTAAACAAATTACACCGTTGACAATCTGGAGATTGATAAAAATATTTGATAAAAATATGAGATAGTCATGGTATTGCTATACCCCTCTCTCTGACATATTTGTTCATTTTTACCACACTACTGGGTAAATATACTTCTAAGTGATGCAATGTGATAAATGTACCCTTATTTGGTTATTTAGCGGGCAGTGTAGTGTCTATTCGTGTTTATTTCAATCAGATATTCCTGAAAATATATAATGTAATTTGTTTACGCTTAGGTGACGCTCGCTGACTTGTCATTTGCCGATATATGCTACTGTATGATGAAACTGCGACCAGATGTTTTGAAAGATTTCCCCAAATTAGATTCATTGAAGAAACGCGTTGAGAGTCGACCAAGAATTGCGGAGTGGATGAAGAAGAGACCTGAATCGAACATATAATAATGAATTCTAATAATGGTGTTTTTGTCTTTAATCTATTGATTTTTTTTTCATTTTGTTAGTTGAAATTTTTGAGCTCATGAAGGTCAGAATTTGTTCTGTTTTAAATCGTTACTTTACTTTATAATATAATCTCAGTTTAACTAAGCATATCAACTCACATGTTTCATTTTACTTTAGTATTATAAATTAATCCAGCTAAGCAAACAACAGTATTTGAAACTCATTATAATATGTAAATACTAATGAATCAAAACTGTTAGCTATATTACTAGATATCTAGGTCTATGAAACAGTGAACAATCTTCTTTTTATTTCTTTTTTCTGAATATATTGATCTAATAGTATCAATTAACAAATATACAATAGTGCTTTTGATAATAAGGTTAATGTGATCGCAGTTGAAAATAAAGGTTTCCCCTCTAGCAGAAGCGTTTAGGATAATACAATTGTTGAAAACTATAGTCTACATCAACTACTGAAGTAGCACGGTTACGCGTGAGTAAATATCTTCGGTTGTTGCAAAGTTTCTGTGTAAGTAGGTCAAGACAACTAACATTAGAACAGTGAGGTCGCCGAACCCTCATTTTTCACCCAGTGAACCAAACAATTTCTGCAACAACAGAATACATCACTACAGCCACAGATAATCCCCATAATTGTGAATCGCTACTTGTGAAGACTTTGTATTTAATACAGAATAGGAACTGTGCATTATGCCTGTTCAATTTGGGGTTAATTTTTACCAATACCTGTGGGGTATATGTATATGTAAGACAGCTGGGCAAATGCTTCCTATATGCATTTGTAAATATTTTTTTATGATAGTAGTATGGTATTACATGGTAATTTTTTTTATGTTTTACTGAAAACATAGATTTCTTTATACTCCACTGTATTGTAAATACAAATGTATTGACAATTTGGCCAGAAAGTTTATTTGAGGCTTAAATTACTAGGGCTTATGTATCTATTATTTCTCTGGAATCAATCACATGTGAAAACCTCATGAGCATTTTATTCTAAGATGCTTTTCGGCTGTAAATTTACAATGTCCCATTCATTCCTGTCTAATGGAGGTAAAAATAGTCTATTTTTACAGATGTTTGTTTAGCACATATGTATTGACTAATTTGCATAGCAATGTATTATGTTAATTACTCTATTGTATTCATTATTATTCTACATTATAGCTAATGTATATATCCCAAAAGTATGATGTCACGTAAATAGCAACACACATAATGCCAAGTACATATATTCATCCACGATAATGGTTACATGTATGTATTTCTATGCAAAATGTTATAGTTTCGGTGTAATTGAAGACTGAATTTTAGTTTTTTGTCACTATTAAAATGAGAACCTTGTTTGAGTTTAATACCATGACAAAGAGCAAGCAGAGACAAAGTTTGATAAATCGTAATTCATCTAACTATTGTATCCAACAATATGGCGGAACAACACGTTCTCGTCCATCATATAGTAGTGATTTTTAATACGCAGTTCGACAAGGACAAGTAACGTAAATGAAAGCAAATAAACGTACAACGTTAAGCTTTGGGACCCTGCAAGTAGGCCAATCTCACTGGTTCTCACCACAAGGGGTTACGATCCCCCCTACCAGTCCCAAAACAGAAATAAAACACACAACAAAGTTTAAAAACTACGTGATAATACTACCAGTTGATTTATTCGTGATGAAAAGTAGACATGATTTAAAATGACAGTAGGCGGGTTCAGTGTGTGAAAAAACAATGTTTTATTTGAGATTTGACAGTCACCCGTGACACGACGTGGCGGAGCGTACTCAGGCCACCCAACGTAGCTAACTGGAAGCTTGGTGTTTATAGCACCGTACCAGCAAAATATGTGCAGAGAACTAAAAAGCAAACACTGTGAAAACCATCATTGCCATATAATGGTGTGAACCAGTCACGTGACATTAGAACAGCGAAAGGAGACGGCCAGCCTTAGGATATCAAAATATCCGATCATATAGTAGTAGTATTAGATATTTTGAAATTAAAGACTTTTTTCTTGCATCTAGTCATTTAAATATTGAGAACATTGACTATATTAGTGAAAATATGCACTGTCTGTCCATACATGTTTTTTTATTTAAAAAATACCCCCAAGTTAGTCATTATGAATTGACGATGTCAGTTGGCAAGTATTGGTGGTTTGAATAAAAAAGGAATTTAGTTTTTTGCGTAAAGAAGAAATTGAATTAGCCAACAATTAAAATTTCAGTAAATTTTCATTTTTTCCTTGGCATGTTATAAATAATGAAGCTCTCAATATCTGAATTAATGACAGATCAGTGAAAAATCCAGTCGAGGACACTTTTATCTGATTTTTAATTATCAATTTTGTACTATTGAATTAACTTTGTAAGCTGACAAATTTCTCCATACATTTATTTGTTAATGGATTGTAAAATACATGCTGAATACACTATTACTCTAGAAACATCTGGACCTTGTTTTTAATTAAGAACAAGCCAAAACCAAACTGGTTTTTCAGTGTTTTATAAAATATTTCCTGTTATAAGAAAGCAACACAGGCAAAGGTTTTCAGGTTAAATACAATTAATTGCCAGTATACAGCTTCATTACACACTTTTTCCAACAGACAATATTGTTTCAGCATTGTATGGAACACAGTTAAAGAAAAAATCGAAAACTGTTCACGCCCAGTGATTACATATATACCGTGCGTCCGGGTTTCATTGCAACATTGAAAGCTTTGAGGTCATAGGTCATCGTCCGGGTTACTAGTACTTTCTTTCTACAAGCCTTATGAAATCCAACACGCTTGTACTTATGAAATATAGATAGAATGTATATGCTGGCGAAGTATGCATAATTTCCAATCAATTGTTTTAAAAATGGGAGTCCCAGAGTGTGTCTCGCCACTAGAGTGAAATGCCGACCTTCAAAAACCACCGCAAATATCAGGTTTACTCAGATGAACGATTCATAATAAGTAGTCCGCGTTGAAGCTGGAATGTCAATAATTCTAAATAAACACAAGAACTTGGTATCGGGAACTCCAAATTGAAGCCAGTGCAAGTTTAAAATGTGTGAAATAATGCCGTGCTCAGCTGGTTTGAAACGTAACTGCCACACGCATGAATGATTGTAAATATGCAAATGAGGCTTCGGTGACCTCACTGAGAATAATAATGAAGCAATACGAAGGTCGGCGTTGGTCACAAGCGCCGCCTATAATTGTTGGCAATGAACTGTGGTCGCGACTACTACACGATTACATACTGCCACTCAGTTCAAACCTTTTTCGTTCACTAGCGTTTTATCTAGAAAACCACTGAAATGTCACAATATAAACGAGTATACTTTCAGTTTAGAGCACGGGCAGAATTGGCTCGGCTGGTTATGGCTGAGGCTGGAGTCGGGTACGAAAACATAATAATAGACGAATTTGAAGAATGGCCGGCACTGAAAAGTTCACCAGGTGGCAAACGTAAGTATATGGCTTGCATATTTGAGTAGGCATTACGCACATCGCCATTGTGACTTAAAGGGCGGTGGTCGTCGCGCAGCGCGAATTCGAATTTCAGGTAAACAAACAATGTATTTTACAGGCGTTGTATCCGTCGCTATGAGTCCCATATCGAACAGGCAACTACCGCCCTTGAACTTTATTATAAAAATATCTGTACGAATAAGTGACGAATATTCGTTGCACTCTTTTATATCAATTGTAATTGAAAACACATGTTGAGAATATTAGACTATTAAGGGACAACGTCAAAAGTTCAATGTAGGATAAAAAACTTAATTCCTTTAGTTTTTTCCCAAACCCCCCTACCCCCCACTGAAACTTAATTGATAAATATTGACCATGGCGTCAGACTACATTCACCATTAAATTCAAATTGATAATCCGACAGTAGTATGGCGTAGCAGTTGGTTGTCGGGTGGGTTTAAAAAGGCTTTACACTCGGACCAAACCATTTTCTTGTCTTGGATGTTTTTTTTCATTTTCTGTTATTTTTGTCCATGATTGGATAGAGAAAAAAAAAACGAATTACAAATACTCATTAAAAAATAAAATCGTTTTTGTAGGATAGAAATTTTTGAGGTCAAAACCCCCCACCCCCAAACTAAAGCAAATAAGTTTTTTATCCGACATCGATCTTTTGACGTCGTCCCTAAAGTACCCAAGAATGCGTGAATATAGTCATACAGGTTTAGCAGACACATACCGTTCCGCTTTGGATTACCATACACAATGCACACTTGAACGAATTCCTTAAGGATGTATACTACAAAATAAAAAATCCACGGAAAATCGTTTAAAATAATACAGGTGTACAGGACATGTTACTCTAAACTCATTGAAAAGAAAAAAACAAGGGGTTAATGTACTAATTTTTAAGATACACAACTCACAATTATGCTGAGTCAGCATTTTTAAGTAGCTTTCATAAATAACTTAAGTTGTCATTTATACTCTGTTTTAATCCAAATTTTTACTGAAATTGGTTTTATCCTATCAGCACATAATATGAGTTCATATTTAAATTCAATTCTAATGAATTTAAGAAATTACCCATTTAAAGAAAACAATAGTTTCCTTCATTTGGTTTTGTATTTTAGATAACAAAACTCTTAGAAACTGTCCTACAAAAAATTTCATCCACGGAAATCTCTGAAATTGTGTATATGTTGAGTACTTCTGAAGTTATTCAATATTGTACATTGAAAATGGTATGCTAATGCACTACTTTTTGAGAAAAAAATAGTTTAATTGTCAGTTTCAATAATCTTGGTGGCCATGTTGGATCATTTATGTGACCTTTGACCTTGTCAATATACATACCGGGGTACATCAAATATGGTCATGTACATCCAACATCAGTAGATTATATTGTTTTATATATGAAGTACAGTTTATATATATTGGCTGGGTGCTTGGGAGAATGTTCTTACCTTTCATTGGAAATATAGAAATTTAAAGTCAAGCCACTAATG